TGACTTTTTTTGTTCTCTCTCCCTAGTAGCACATGCACAATTTCCAGATACTCTCCTAACTACAGAGCCATTAGGGCCTACTAACTTTAATAGTGCCAAAAGCAGAAGGATCCCATCCATCTAGCAGAGAACCCAAATCTATTGAGAAGCATACAAACACATATACACACACATCTGCCATTCAGGAACAAAAAAATATCAAAGTGAGGGGAGGAGAATCAATCCAGCTAAAAAAAACTGACAGAAAATCACTTGAAGAAACTAGAAGCATTTGAAATGTGGATTTACAGACAGTTGTTACGTGTAAGCTGGGTTAACAAAATCACAAAAGAGGAGGTGATAAGCCGTCTGGGAAAGCAAAGGGAAATCATCAAAGCCATTAAAAAGTGAACGTTAGAATATTTTGGACATGTGGTGCGAGACCCAGAAAAATACGGCATCCTTCACTTAATCCTCCAGGGAAAGATTGAAGGCAAACGAGGTCCAGGCAGAAGAAGAACATAATGGCTTCAAAACCTAAGGGACTGGCTTGGACAAAACTCAGCAGCACTTTTTCATGCAGCTGTTGACAAAAATAGGATTGCCAACATGATCGCCAACGTCCGATGATGGATATGGCACAAGGAGAAGAAGAAGCTAGAAAATAATCAGTTGCAACAACTTTACTTCCCCTTACTGTATTGTGGGGCGGAGGGGGGGGAATTTAAAAATGCTCAGCTATATGGGTTTAATGTTTATTTCATTATAACCTATTGAGCTGCTTTGAAATAGCAAATGTCATTTATACCTAATTAGCTTTAGAAGAGGCTCCTCCATTTTTCCCTCAATGACTATAGTGTTGATAGCTTCTCAATGTGACTAGGACAACCTTGCGTTATTAATTTGGGGAGGAAACGTAGATGATATTTTCATTTCGATATAATCTAGCTAGGTAAAAGACTCCCAAAGAGAAAAGCAGAACAAACTACGATTCAGAGATTCTTCTGGTCCCAAGCGGAATGAACACAGTTCAAGTAAAAGGTCTGCCATTATCACAGCAGCGTTGCCATCTAGTGGTCTGATGATAAAGTGAATCCAATATGAATCACTGCATCGATGGGAAAAGTAGGAATTGAAAAGCTAGCACAAATTTTGGAGCCCCTTTCCCGTCTTTTTTTTTTTTTAGGAAATCGTGATTGATGCACTTGCTTCTCTTAAGCTTTGTGAAAAATGCCTCTCAGAAGAGGTAATACACATCTGTTAGCAAACCATTTGCACGCATACCTCAAGAGAATTTAAAAGCATCGCAGCTGGATTAGGTATACTTAAAATGAATACTTAAAATGTATCAGACCCACAACTGTGCTTTCTACATGGCCAACTCCTTGGGAGCCTACAAATAGATTATGAGGGCAACAGTCCTTTCCCACCATTGTCTTCCAGCTGCTAATACTTAGACCACATATTCTGTCTTATCCTAGAGGGAGCAGATAGCTTGCAGAACTAGCAGAAAAGTTTTCTCTTCAATGAAATCTATCTAACTCCCTTTTCAAGCTGTCAAAATTTATATCCATCAGCAAGTCCTTCAATGATGAATTCTAGAGATTAGCAATACTCTGTATGATCACTATGCAATCTCTCTCCCTGAATCTTTACTCATCTGATTCTGAACATCGACCATTCTATTGTGACCATCAAGGATAAAAGAGAGAGGAACAAAGAGAATGTCAGGTATGCTTCCTTCACTATCCAGGAAAGGAAAACCCAAACTCAATCATTTTGAAGAGATTAGTACTTTTACTGAATATGAAATGATCGCAACCAAGGTAAAGCTGGAAGTGAGCAAAACGCGCGAAATAGCATCTACTAAGCTTCTCCCCCCCCCGTGTCCATTGACCCTCATCCAATCCAAAGGTCTCCCAAAGGTCAGGTGGCATCACGTCTGGCAACGTCATTCATCAGGAATGTAGGGCAGTTGGTCAGCCGGCCCCTTTGGAGATTCACTTTCGTTTCTTGGGAAGACACGTCCTACAATGGAAAAAACACCTCCTGCACCTTCCCCCCCTTTGCCCCCTTAACTAGTCCCTCCCCCCCCATTTCTTATGGCAGCTGAAGCAGGCAAAGCTGAGGCTGACATAGAATTTGGATTATGGATTTGGATTACGGATTTTTTTTGCGACAACTACCCTGTCTTATATTAAGACACTGTCTTATATTTTTTTGAACCCTGAAATAAGCGCTTGGCTTTATTGCCATGAGCTCAAAAGCCCGATTGGACTATCAGGGGATGTCTTATTTTGGGGGAAACAGGGTATAATGTGAGAAACCTCCTATCCGTTCCCCACAACTGTCCCTCTCTTCCTATAGCAAAGACCAAATACCGGAACAACATTTTCACGTCAAAATGTTTCAAGTACCAAATTCGTCAAGTCTTGAAGCAGTCAAGTACCGAAGTACCACTGTACTTTTAGAATCAGGATACATTTATAGCCCTGAGATGAGAAACTTAGCCTTTTGGTGTTACCATCGGTAAACAGACCATGGTGGCCAGGCTGTACTATATATTTATGGAGATACATTTGTATAAGCAGATTGATCTGCTCATATGGGTAAGTACAATAGAACTTCCACAAGTTCTAAGATAAAGACCCTTAGATAAGATAAAGACCCTTAGTCTAAAACAGGTTTTTCAAATCATGATTTCAGAAGTTTTTTTAGAAGTGCATTCAAGTTTCTAACAAAGGCAGGTAATTTGTCAAAACAAATCATCAAATTCAACCCTGCCACATAAGAAGGGGAAATGATTACTGCTTAATTCACATGGCATCACTGTTGGAGCATCCAACATCTTGTATAACCCAAACTATACCTCCTGGAATATGCCCAGAATCACACAAAAGGGCATATGACACAGAGACTTCCCAGTAGGCAAATAAAGCAAAAATTATTCCTTCAAGGAGGAGAACCTTAAAAAAGTTCATTACAGAAACAGATTTTTGAGATTAGTTATGTAGAATTCATTTCCCATCCATCATCCATGAAGGTTCAAGCCAACTTCCAGGAAAATTCCAAGCATTTTATTCTCCCAGCCTGTTCTCTAGGCTGTAAATAGAATAATCTCAGAAACAATAAGATTTTATTTTACTGAAGTCCATTTTCTAGCAAGCATAGAAGGCATACAAAGATACCTTCTTATTCTTACTATATATGTTGTTTTATTGAGGTGGCACATTAAAAAAGATGGTTTAAAAAATCAGCACGTATCTGCTTTTGCTGATGTTAACAAAATTTTAGGCCATAGCTTTCTATACAGCAAAATCTCATTTAATTTTTTTTCTTTCTCGGCAAACCAAACACACTAACAATTAGCACTTTGCTTCCTAAGCAAGCAAATCAGACAAAAGAAAAAGAAATGCTCATATTAACACCAGTAATGGAAAATGTTCAGTCCCGTAGGCCCCAAACTTTACCAATTATTCAGAATCAGGTACTGGAACAAATTGAGGAAATGTACATAGGCAAGAGGGCAAAAGCTGCACTTGTGTATATAACATTTCTTGATCTTAAATTATATCTTCCATTCAAAAATAAAAACCCAAAGGCACTTTTCTCCTGAAGCACTCTTTTAACCTATTACCATAAATATTCAGCAGAGAAGTCAGCTTTATCACAAGTCTGATAAAAAAAGAACACCTAGCCAGTTTCTAGCCTTCAATTATCACACAATTGTTCCAATCCAGCCAAGGCAATTCATATGGAGAAGCAAACTGCCTATGCAATCCCTGTTGATTGTTGAACCACGTGTACAATTCTTAACAATCTTGAGGTTCCAGTGTTCCACAGAGGACCTGAAGTGCGGATCAAAACTTCAGCAGCCCGATTCTTTTTCTCCAGTTTAACCCGACAAGAGGCATTTAAAGGCATGTTTCACTTCAGCTCCTGCTGCACGTGTTTCCATTCGTGGTTAACAATGCCAAGGAAGAAAAAAGAGCTATGATCCATTCCCAAATGTATGTGTATGGTGTGATACCAGAACAGTATTCGTCAATAGTTTATACGAGGCAAATATTCAGAATCTATGCAATTAACTCTTCCATTTTATATTTTAAAAGCTGCACTTATGTACTCTTCAACAATCGCTGCATAAGCTCTTCTTTTCTTTCAATAAGTCAGGATTCAGGGATAATATTGGGCACTGGGATCTCCCAGTACTGACCCCATCAATGAATGTTATAGTGCAGTGATGGCTAACCTTTTTGCCATCGTGTGCCAAAAGCAGGGGGAGCGTGCGGGGATGGTGTGACACACACATGTGCCCACACCCATAATGCTATGCGCCCCGGCCCCCGTGCATGCGTGTGCAACCCTCTCTCGCTCCCCCTGCTTTTGGCACACGATGGCACGGTGGGCCCGGTAGGCCCGTTTTTTGCTCTCCCCAGGCTCCAGAGCCTTTCTAGGAGTCTGGGGAGGGTGAAAAAGGCCTTCCCCATCCCCGTGGACGACCTCCAGAGGCCGGAAACAGTCTGTTCCCGACTTCCGGTGGGCCCAGAAGGCCCGAAAATTAGCTGGCCGGTGCACACATGCGCACTGGAGCTGAGCTCACGTGCCCACCGATATGGCTCCGGGTGCCACCTGTGACACGCATGCCATAGGTTCGCCATCACGGTTATAGTGCATTCTTACTTTTTTAAGGCAAACACTGGCAGGAAAACTTACAAGTTATGGTCCTTTCCTGGTTGATCACTGCCAAGAAAATGTAGATGAATTTAACTTTAACTCTTCTTCAGCACAGAATTTGAGAATATTTGCTTTAAGAGAAAATCCTTTATAAATTCCTTTATTCTAGAACTAGCGAATTAAATAGCTCTTTGAAACTATGGTCTCCACATCATCATGAAAAAAAAACATGAAACAGAAAATGACAGGCAATTTAGTCAGTTTGACAGCAATCTCTTCCAGTTAGTCAGCAAAGGTAGAGCTGACACTGTATTCCAATAATAAGAAATAAGAGAGAGCCTCACCTTCAGGAGTTCTCTTGGGAAATCTGCACCCTCATTCATTCCTTGAAGGTTGGCGATGAATTCTTGACAGGACATCTTTTTGCCAATGTTCTGAAATATACAGGACATGGGGATATGAATGCAAACCAATGGAAATGAACATTACATAGTTTTTAAAATCCTTGTATTAAAACTTTCTAAATAATTTCTTTACTTAAATCGAAAACCCAACTATGAACAGCACCAAACACAAGATTAAAGGTAAAGGTAAAGGTTCCCCTCCCACATATGTGCTAGTCGTTCCCAATTCTAGGGGGCAGTGCTCATTGCCATTTCAAAGCCGAAGACTCAGTGCTGTCCGAAGACGTCTCTGTGGTCATGTGGCCGGCATGATTAAACGCCAAAGGTGCACGGAACGCTGTTACCTTCCCACCAAAGGTGGTCCCTATTTTTCTACCTGCATTTTTATGTGCTTTCGAACTCCTAGGTTGGCAAAAGCTGGGACAAGTAACAGGAGCTCACCCCATTATGCGGCACTAGGGATTCGAACCACTGAACTGCCGACCTTTCGATCGACAAGCTCAGCGTCTTAGCCACCACGTCCCTGTAAACACAAGGTTAGAAGCATTCTTTTATAAATCTGCACGAACTATCTAAAAAATGCAAATCAATACTTGAAGGAGAGTGGTCAAAGACCAGGTGAAGGACAGATCCTCAGGGAGAAAATCTATGTACAGGTAAAGTCCTCAATTTACATCTGTAAGGGAATTTGCCCATAACAGTCATAAGTCGTGACAGACATAAAGCAGGTCGCACACATGTAACCAATTTGATTTTATTACTTTTTTTTTTTGCAGGAGTCATTAAGTAAACCAATTATTCACTATGGTTTTGCTGAAAAGCAGAAGTAAATGTCAGATTTGGGCAAAAATATCGTAAACACAGTCACGTGACCGTGGGATGCTGCAAACAGAAATCAATGTGGACCAGTTGCTGAATGACCGATATGCAGTCACATGACCATGGGGGTGCAGCCATTGGAACTTCAGAACTAAGTCCTAAGTAACCCTGGCTATGTCTATTGCTGTTAGCAACCTGTCATAAGTCGAGGACTACCTGTAGTTGCTAAGAGTTTGGATAGCACATAATCAGTCAATAACATAGAGGAGAGAGGAAACAGTGAGTAAACTCTCTAACAAGGATAATGGCAATCACACAGACTTTTTAGTCAAGATTCTCAACGAGCTTTAAGAAATTGGTTTGCATTCCCAAAATATTAGGGTGTTGCCACAAAATGGAAATCATTTTGCCAAAGCAACAGCCTGAAGGTGATAAACTGCACAGAAAGTTCTGGGTTTAAAATAATCTCTCCAGCCAAACCCAGAATTTCTCTTTTTTTTTAAAGAGGGGGGTGGAATACCCCAAAAGGATCATTTTTATTTTTCCCATTCCTGTCTTTAAAAACAGTGGAGATTAATTTTAGTAGCAGCTAAGAGATACAGAGGAGAGAATGAATCACTCCTTTTCTAAGAATGAACAGTCATTTTTCCCTCTGTACGAATAAACCTAGCTATTTTTCTCTTTCAGCAAGCCAATTCCAAATTTTGATTAAAGTAGAAACCAAGAAATTTGTCTAGATATATACTCCCATCACTCAAATCCCTTCTTTATTCATGTCTGAAGCACCTTCAAATTATAGTCATATAACATTCAACACTGAGCAAATAAAATAGATATAAAATAAAAATGTGCTAGTCGTTCCCAACTCTAGGGGGCGGTGCTCATCTCCGTTTCAAAGCTGAAGAGCCAATGCTGTTTGAAGACATCTCCGTGGTCATGTGGCCGGCATGACTAAATGCCAAAGGCGCACGGAACACTGTTACCTTCCCACCAAAGGTGGTCCCTATTTTTCTATTTGCATTTTTTACGTGTTTTCAAACTGCTAGGTTGGCAGAAGCTGGGACAAGTATCGGGAGCTCACCCTGTTACGCGGCACTAGGGATTCGAACTGCTGAACTGCTGACCTTTTGATTGACAAGCTCAGCATCTTAGCCACTGAGCCCTGGAGCAAGCACTTGTGCAGAGAAAGCAACAGAATCTGAGAGAATATTATGTATATACCCTTTTGTCCATGGGTTACTAATAACAGGTGGTCCTCAAATTATGACCATTCATTTAATGACTGTTCCAAGGTACAATAATGTTGAAAGAAGTCTGAAAGAAGCATTTATAATCTTTGCAACAGCCCCATTGTCACACGATCGCAATTTGGGCCAGGAGTGAAATTCACTTGCCTTCCCAACCGGTTTGCAAATGTGCGCACGCCGTTGTCCATGCATGCGCAAAGCCTTCTGTGCATGCGCAGAGGCTTAAAATGTCACAAAAAAGCAACATCTTGACATCCGTGCAGGTGGGCGGAGCCTCCCGCAGCCGCAGCTACCGGTTCGCCTGAATCGGATAGAACCGGTGGAATTTCACCCCTGATTTGGGCGCTTGGCAACCAGCTTGCATTTATAATGGGTTAGGAATAGAATAACTTTTATTGCCGCTTTGAATGTACACTAATTGGTATACATTAAAATGAAATTCTGTTGCATACAGCTCTCAAAATGTCACCACCTCCAATGTACACTACATAAACATGACTAGATAGATAGATAGATAGATAGATAGATAGATAGATAGATAGATAGTAGATGTTGGCTCACTGACGACGCCTTAAAAGGCAGAAATAGCTATCTGAGTCTCCCAGAGAGCAACACAGAGTTGCAGTTTGTCAACAAAAAAAAAGCCCAGAAGCTTGTGAATGAGATTTCACAGAACCAGGGCTGCAGAACAACTCAGTTTACGTAGGTAAAACCTGGCTAGAAAGAATATGCACATAAAAGCCTACGAAAAAGAAAAAGACATAGATAGATAGATAGATAGATAGATAGATAGATAGATAGATAGATAGATAGATAGATAAAGCAAACACAAAATTATGCATATACCCACATATAGTATATAACACAGAGAAACAACACAGTCTAGTCCAGATGTATACATGTACATGGTGAGAAAATGAATCTTTCGAGTTTACTAGACGGATAACATAGAGAACAAAGTTGTTACAGAATCTGGTAGTCCTGCTAGAAATACTTCAATACTGCAGTATCCTGTAGTCCTATGATTACAATTTGTGATTCTTTTGCTCAGTTTACTATCACAGCATTCACCTAACGACTGCGGATTCATTTTAACAACCACAGTGATCTACTTAACAACCATCATAAAAATGGTCATAAAATTGGATCCAGCATGATTTATGACCACAAAAACTTATAATGAATATTCCGGTCCCAATTTCAGTCATAAGTCTAACACTGACCAAAAATGCAACTTGGTAAAAATTTCTACTCACAAATCAATCTATCCACCAAGCTTCTTTTTCCTAGTGAAAAAAAAAAAAAAGACTGCTCATTGGCCTGTAGAGTGATGGCAGCACCGATCCAGAACTAATAGAGGGTAAACCATGCAGAGGGAACATTGCAATGGGAGGAGAAAAAAACCCCATCCATTTCATCTTAGTAGCTGCGGTTGACACAGTGGTTAAAATGCAGTACTGCAGCTACTTCTGCTGCCTGCCGGCTGCCTGAAATTTGGCAGTTCAAATTTCACCAGGCTCAAGATTGACTCAGCCTTCCATCCTCCCGAGGTGTGTAAAATGAGGACCCAGATTGTTAGGGACAATATGTAAACCACTTACAGAGGGCTGTAAAGCACTATGAAGCGGTATATAAGTCTAAGTTCTATTGCTACTGCTATAGTAAATTTCAAACCCTGTCCAAGAGGGACACCACCAAAATGGAAAATGGATTTTCTTTTTAAAGACTACGTAAGAACTTGTAATTTCAAGAGAGCGGTTATGAAACTGTGAACCGTACTGAACCCAGCTGGTACATCTCAGCTCTCTCCCATTTAGCATCACTCAACTGGTTTGTAAAATTAGGGAAACTGGATCACCAAAGCATGCAAGGCATCATAATACAAGTAGCTACAGGAATGCTGAAATTATACAGAATACAGAAAACTGATAACGGTCAACAGCTCTTGAGTGCAGTTGCCAACTGTGAATCCATACATATTGTGCTCGGCGAAACTGAGATCTTGCCCAAGCAACCTGAAAAGGGAAGTGTGAATAGGACATTCAACAATCAATATCATAAAGTGCTTGTAGGCCCTGGTATTCAGCGATTACTACTGAAGCATAGAATTGACAAGCCAGTTGTGCTAAGAGCACCTCTTATTATGACATTGGGTATATGAAATAATTCAAGGGGTAGATCAATATGCAATCTTCAGTTAAACTGTTTAGTACAAAATTCAGTCTTAGAAGGCCTTTAAAATTGGAAGACAGACACAAATGAAACTATAAATATGACCTTATTCACACACACAAAAATAAACCTTCAATTTGCTGAAAAAAATGTATGGAGGGGATATTTCTTCATTTGGGTTTTCTCTGAGTTTTCTGAATAGTCCTGAATGTCCCGATTTTAACGGTAGAGAAATGCAGTTTTCTTAAAACACTGTTTTAAGATAACAGACAACAGATGCTTTTGAAAATGATCTTCAAAAACCGTTAGAAGATGGGGAGGGATAAGCATCCGAGAGGTATCAAGAAAATATCATAATAGGACTTTGGAACATCTGTGTAGCAATGCAAATCTTGTTTCTATAAATTCCTCACAAGTTTTCCAGGGTATAGCTAAAAGCACTATATACAACTAATTTTAACAGAACATTCAGCAAACTAGGGGGAAAACATGACCATTTGTTCCTTGGACACAAATAGCTCTACAGCTCTACAAATCTCTGAAAAATTGCCATCTATATATAGTGTCTCTTGATGTCTGTGAGAGTCCTGCATTTGGAATCTGAAGAAAAAGTGGCTAGCAGGAATGAAGCACATTCAGCTATTAAACATATTTATATAGCTGCCCATCTAATAAAAGGAGCTACAAAACGTAAGTATACTGTGTACAAAATATAAACATAATACCATAGAACAGGAGCGTCCAACCTTGGCAACTTTAAGACTTGTGAACTTCAACTCCCAGAATTTTGGAAGTTGACATTCACAAGTCTTAAAGTTGCCAAGATTGGACAACTCTGCCATAGAACAAAATAAACTACCATATTTTTCAGAGTATAAGACGCACCAGAGTATTAGACGCAGCTTAGTTTTTGGGGAGGAAAATGGGAAAAAATCTGCCTATCAGGTATTCATCTGACTAGCGGCCTTAGTCTGGTCAGCTTTAGCACATTAGTTTGCTGGGTTTTTAATCCCCTGCTTGGGGATAAAAAACAGCTTCTAAGGCACAGCTGAGGGGAAGCAGCAATGAGAAAAGCAGGCAAAGCACAGGGAGATCGTTTCACTCGGCTAGCGCCTAGTTAGGGCTGAAAAATAGCTTCTAAAGAACAGCTGAGAATCGGAGCACAGCATGGAGATCCTTCATTCACTAACACTTCGTTAAAGCACAGCGGAGAGTTAAGGGAGTAGGCAAAGCTGGGAAGATCGCGCTTCACTCGCTAGCACCTCGTTAGGGCTGAAAAAAAGTTTCGAAAAAGCTACATTCGGAGTATAAGACACATCCAAATTTTCAGCCTCTTTTAGAGGGAAAAAGGTGCGACTTATACTCCGAAAAATAAGGTATGTTGAGGTTTTCATAAAAAATACATCCCTCTACCTACCATTCTGGGCCAGCTCTGTTAACATCTTGGCTCTAGGTCTTGGGAGAAAAGCCAATTCTTTACCAATTTTAGAATATAAAATGAGAGCAAACCCCGCTCCCTACCAATACTTATGATGTCACCTAGTTTGAGTAATGAAACATCTGCAAGAAAACAATCAAGCTCAGAAAGCACCAAGGACCCCTCATATTCATCTTCCTGAAGGCCAGTCATCATGACAGAAAAGGTGTGATTTTTAAGTCCCACCAGTGATGTTGCATCAGCATCGGGGCACACAGCATGCCCACCCTGCCAGATTTAGTAGGACAAGTAGAAACCATTGGGGATAGATAGTCCTACAGTTAACCTGACCTCATGCAATATATGCTTTTAACACCACTGTGGTATAAACTGTACTGTACCCAGGAGACTACTGAGAGCCAGTGCAGCTCACTCTGCACTAATATTACAGGGGCATGTTAAGGTGCACCCACCACTAACTGTGTTGCTGCATTATGAACCAGTTGCAGCTTCTGAATGCCTGTTAAGGGCAGCCTCCTTATAGTATGGATTGCAACAACTCAACCAGAAGGTGACTAAGGCATAAGTAACCATGAGCAGTTCCTCCTGATCTAAGAAAGGGCACAACTGGTGCAAGAGCTGTGGTGGTGCAGTGATTAGAATGCAGTACTGCAGGCTATTTCTGCTGACTGCCAGCTGCCTGAAATTTGGCAGTTCGAATCTTACCAGGCTCAAGGTTGACTCAGCCTCCCATCCTTCTGAGGTCGGTAAAATGAGGACCCAGATTGTTGGGGGCAATATGCTGACTCTGTAAACCACTTAGAGAGGGCTGGAAAGCATTGTGAAGCAGTATATACAGTGAGTCTAAGTGCTATTGCTATTTGTGCAAAGGTCTTCCTGGCCATGGCTGCCACTTGCCCTTTGATCAGGGCCCAAGAGTCCAAGGGAATTCCCAGAGACTCAGGGCGGTTTACAGTGCCTTAAGCAATAGCCTTCATACTTTTGTATATTTTTATACAAAGTCAGCTTATTGCCCCCACAAACTGGGTCCTCAATTTACCTACCTTAGAAAGGATGGAAGGCTGAGTCAACCTTGAGCCTGGCGAGATTCGATCTTAGTTTAATTGCAGACAGCTGGTGTTAAATTACAGTGCTTAGTCTGTTGAGCTATCTAGGCTCTTGAATGAGTGTCATCCAAACCAAAGTTAAAGATATCAAATCACCAGATACTGAGGATGTTAAAATGAACAGCCAGCCCAGTCTTGGTGGGATTGAACTGAAGTTGATTCTTCCCCATCCAGACCCACATGGTGTTTAGGTGTTGGGAAAGTACCTTGACAGTTTGAGCAGCCCAGGGTAGAGATGTACCTTTATTATCACCATACTTATGGTATTTAATTCCCTGCTGACTCATGTCCTCACTCATTGGTTTCATGTAGATGTTAAAAAGGAGCATGGAGAGAGTCAAGTCCCCTGGCACCTCATTTTTCCCCTCTTACCAAACCAGCTGAAACCAGCCTTGGAGATAAGATGGGGCCTCCCCACTCAATCCCTTGCCAGTTCAGGTTACCTGATTAGCAATATCAAGAGCCACTGAGAAATCAAGTAGGGCCAGGATGAATACACTGCCTCCATCCCTTCCAGGACCTGCCAGAGGTAATTCACAAGTATGAACAGGAGTTGCAAGTCGATGACCAGCACAAACCAAATTAAGGAAATCAGGTAATCAAGGAGACCCAATCCCAAAGTTTTTGCTGTGCAGTTTTCTGGAGTTTCTGCAATCCATTCTGTGGAGGGACATTCAAATGTTTCCCTGCCTTTGCCAAATGGTTTTGTTTCATCTTTGCCAAGTGCACTTTTTACAGGCTATTTGGCCTCGTAACTTGTTTCTCTCTTATTCAGTGCATTCTGAACTACAAATGCTTGCCTTTTTTTACAATCCTCACAGCTACTTTCTGCCTCTGTATAGATGACTTCACTACTCTTTGAAGCTATTATAAACCAAGCCTGGAATGCAATGTCTGGGCCCACTGAGAACAGAAACCACAGATGTGCATCAGAAGACGGTCCAATAGTTTTGAGGAGTGGTGCTAAGTTTGCAGAATACTCACATGGCCGTGAAGGTCAGTGTTAAGCAGCATTATTGCACATGTGAGGCAATGGACTCCATCTGTAGGATTAAAAACACCCAAAGCATGACATATAGAAAGCCACACAGGAAAAAAGAAAATCACACTTCCCACTTTTCCCGTCTGTTTATAAAAGAATGATGCCAATTAAGCTGGAACCCCCTGCAGCCTAATTAACACTCTCCAAAGCAGTTTCCTTATAAAGAAATACATGACATTAATCAAGAAAGAGATATCTCATGAAATTAAATCACTGGTAGAGAGAGGAGACCAGCCTGATTTGGTTTGTCACTGGAGAACCACCATAAGCCATGTTTTGAAGATCCACCACATACCGTATTTTTCGGAGTATAAGACGCACCTTAGTTTTTGGGGAGGAAAATTGGGGGAGGGGGGAAATCTCCCTACCAGGTATTCATCTGGCTAGTGTCCTTAGTCTGGTCAGCTTCAGCACATTAGTTTGCTGGTTTTTATCCCCTGCTTGGGGATAAAAAACAGCTTCTAAAGCACAGCTGATCTTTGGAGAGAGAAGCAATGAGAAAAGCAGGCAAACCACGGAGATCGCTTCACTTGCTAGCGCTTCTTAGGGCTAAAAAAAGCTTCACAGCTGAGAGTCGGAGGGAGCAGGCAAAGCACGGAAGATCGCTTCACTGAAAAAAAGCTTCTAAAGCACAGCTGAGAGTCGGAGGAAAAGCACAGAGATCGCTTCACTCACTAGTGCCTCATTAGGGCTGAAAAAAAGCTTCAAAAAAGCTACATTCGGGAGGGAAAAAAGTGCGTCTTATACTCCAAAAAATATGGTAGGTGTTTATATCTTGCAGTAGCTCAGCTGCAGAATCTGATCTTGATTCTATTGTTCTTTTTGCAATTGGACCTGCACTCCAGTTCAACCAGCAGATTTAGCCAGGCTCCGTTTAATTGAAACCCATTTCTTGTGAGACCAGTTTAGACTCCAGCTGAATTTAGCTCCAAAGCTTCAATTAAAATGACAAATGCAGCATCTTGCCATTGTGGCACAATGTCATGAGGCATGAAGAAAACGTGCAGAGTTTGCACCAGATAGTATAAGACTGCTTTTGTCATATCGGACCCTTTAATGCAGCCTCCATATTAGACATTTCTGTCGGGAACTTGTCTCAGAACATCTTCCCTGTTCTCCTTTGCTGCTTCCACAAAGTCTGTTGTGTCCATGAAGCTACAAGCTTGAGTGGGCTTTATATATGTGTACTCAGGGGTGGGCTGTTGGGGTTCACAGGGGTTCTGGAGAACCTGTAGCTAAGATTCTGTGCAGTTCAGAGAATTCCCAAACCCCACTCCTGGCTGGCTCCGACCAACCCACCCCTCCCCTCCCTGGGATCCCCACACAGCCCATTTGGGATGCAGATAAGTGCAGGGCGCACACGGAGGCTTGCGGAGGGGGAAAAATGGGCCTACCGGAAGTTTGGGAAAGCCAGAAACGGGCCTATTTCCGGCCTCCAGAGGGTCTCCGGAGCTGGAGAGGCCATTTTCACCCTCCCGGAAGCTCAAGGAAAGCCTCTGGAGCCCAGGGAGGACAAAAATGCTCCCCCCCTCCCCACTGTGGTGCAGAAGGCCCACCATGGCCACGCCCACCCAGCAACCAGGCACAGAACCCCTTGCTAAAATTTTGAAGCCCACCCCTGTATGTACTTGATTACAATCTTTCATGGTCTCCGCTTTTGTCAGTCGAGATTCTCAGTCATCCAGGCCATGCTTGTCCCAAAGGTGCTTTTTCAAAAGGCAACTGGGCTTTCTTTGTTTTTCCTTGAAGACATTTTGCTTCTCATCCAAGAAGCTTCTTCAGTCAGAACTCAAGTCAAAACTGCAGAAGCTTCTTAGATGAGAAGTGAAACACCTTCAAGGAAAAACAAAAGAAAGCTCAGTTGCCTTTTGAAAAAGTACCTTTGGGATGGCCTATGTTTTTCCTCTTATCTTAATAAGCCTTCTACAAAGCCAATTTCAAATTATAAAATGTTCACAGCAATGTATGCATGTGTGTGCATACATGTTTGCTTTGAATAAAGCAGAAGAAAAAAGAAAACAAGATCTGTTTTGCTGAATTGATTCAGTGTAGCCTCCGAAGTCTTTGGGTAGATTCGTATAATTCAAGCTTTACAAGGAGGAAAACCTTGCAAGTAGATCATAATAGGGATTCCCACCCATCATGCCTGCCTCCTTAATCAGGCAATAAATAATAGGCGGCCTCGGTGAAAAATGTTGTTTATGCAAATACCTGAAAAGGATTCTAGTGGTTCAGCAACAAACTCAGTGAATACCCAATTCCAAAAACAAACGATGGCCATAAATATTTTATAACTGACTGGACTGCATTTTCACTCAGCTAGTTTGGGTTTATAGACATGCTGGGTTGGGGATGGTTTGTCTTGGGTTTCTGGGGTGGTCTAGTGCGATTATAGTATTAAAATAGCCATTATGAAGTCTGCCTGAATAAAAGTGACAATAAGACCAGCATATTTTAAAACTGCGAAAGGATGGTTACCTTGTGTGGAAATAGCAGTGGGGTTGCATTGGTGGTACCTGCTGGAGAAATGAATTAGAACTCTCTCTCTTTCCTGAGTTTCTCCGATGAGGGAAAAGGCTTTAAAAAATGTCCTAAAAAGAAATGTAAAGGGGGGGGGGAATGTCAAATATATTAAGGTTATAAATTAAAGATAACTTTTTCAGAATTGAAGATAGCTTGAATGAAGCATGCATCCCAGGTGGATATTGTTGTGTGCTACAATAAAACCCACTGTATTGTATAACTACCGATGCCATCAACACAAGCACAGTTGCCTTAAGTATCAAAGACTGTATGGAACAGCTCAGTTTTTACTGTTTTGTAAAATTATGTTAAAATCTGTGCTGGTCTAACTTTGGGGGGCGGGAGTGAAAACAGTCAGACTATATCAGGGGTGAAATGCTCCTGGTTCGGACTGGATCGCCTGATCCGGCTGCGATGATGGCGGGTAGTTCGGAGAACCGGTAGCAAAAATCCCTGGGCCCCCCCATGCCCAGCTGAGCTGCACGATCATCAGAGGCTTTTTTTTTAACTTTTTCTTCAGCTGAAAAAATGCTTTTAAAAGTTTAAAAAAAAAAGCCTCTGATGATTGCACAGCTCAGCTGGGATCATCAGAGCCTTTTAAAAGCATTTTTTCTACAATCTCTTTGGCCAAAGAATTGGCCACGCCCACCCAGTCACATTAACCCCCCCAAACCACGCCCATAGAACCGGTAGTAACAAATTTTACATTTGCACTATACTGCATTTTTTATAAGCATACTATAAATAAAAAGAGTATTATTATTACTAATGCTTAGTCACTACTACTAGTTAGCTACTAATCTTACTTGAAAAGAAAGCTGAGGTGTATATTTTAAGACTCTTAAAAATCTACTGCCTATCTATAAAATAGATAACTGGTTTATGCTAGCAAATACTTGCTAGAAATATCTGTAGGTATAGCAAACATAAGCAACCTTTGCTATAATTCCTGGGACTAAGGAATTGTGGGAAAACAAGAAGGAAAGGGAGAGATAGGATTAGCTATTTTCTTAAACATGATTGCATGAAATCTCTGTGTTGATTATTATTTAGGCGCTGGTCTTACTTTAATCGTGTCTTCCAGCAGAGAGCGTGCATCCTGCAAAAAAACATGCCTTCAAGTCTATCAACCTACAGCAGTCTTGTGTTTTTTTAAAAAAAATGATGCAGCTGTCATCACTTTTCATCTTTCTCTTCTAACTTCCTTATATCTCTTTCAGAGCCCTGCTGTTACTTCTTGTTCTTTCTCCTTCCACTACCTCATACAACTGACAATCAACTTTTTTTTTTTACAAAACCATTTAAAATAAATAAACAAGCTACTTTTGATGAAGCTGTGCCGTGCATTTCCAACTACAAATGAATTGCACAGAAGGTCCATCCTAATTTGTGGCTATTTTAAAGCAGGCACATGCAGAGGCAGGACCACATCTGACCAAATCATACTCCAATTCAACTCTGATGGCTACTTTCCAAGACCCATGTCACATTCATTTCTCTCTGGATGTAACAAGAGAAAATAGAGCTTTGTGGTAAAACAGGTGCATTGTATATTGAAGGTCTCTCCTATAATTTTTGGAATCTCCAGTTGGAATGATCTAGTAACAGGAGATGACAAATATTTCTGCCTGGACAGTTGCAAGCAGTTAAAATAAATAATTTAGAAAATGGATGGAGGAGAAGAAGAAATGTATCTCTTTATAGTCTAGAATTCATTTTGAATCAAAGTAATACTAAAAAAATAGGCCACTTGATTGCAGACTTTTAATGGGATACAGGCATTGAATTATCCATAGAATCCTTCATCGGAAAAGTTAATAAGAACAATTTCCTCTGATGCCTCCCAAAATACAGTTCAGTCCATGAGACTGTCAGATGGATCATTATTGCTCAAGTTAGGCAATAAAACTAGTACTCTACACAGAAATCTGAATTAGCTCAGTACGTTGAGTTTTTACCAGAAATGATTCCAAATACTTCTCACGTTGGCTATGAATTTTATGATTTTTATAGTTTTATATACTTTTTATTGTTTTAAATTGTTGTAATATTTTGCTGTTTTCAACTGTTTGAGAGCCAACCAGAGCCATATATTGAGCTAGGTGGCTATATAGTACATATTTGATAAATGAATAAATCAGTGTTTCCCAACATTGGCAACTTTAAGATATGTGGAGGTCAACTCCCAAGCAATTCTGGGAGTTGAAGTCAGCACAACTTAAAGTTGCCATGGATAGGAAACACTGAAGTAAATAAATAAAATGAACATTTTTTAAAAACTTTATCTGGAAAGGTATGTTTGATGTATATGTGTGTATGTATGTATGTATATATGTATGCATGCATGCATGCATGCATACACAGAGAGAGAGAGAGAGAGTATGTCTGTATGTATATGTGGGTGTGTGTATGTTTGTAAAGGGGGGGGAGAGGGAGGGAGGGAGGGAGGGAGGGAGGGAGGGAGATGGTTTGGACCGGTTCACAAGAACCGGTAGTAAAACCGGCGGGAGGCTCTGCCCATCATCCCGGATGTTGTCATAGGCGATCTGCACATGCGCAGAAGCTCAGTGAGCGCGCAATCCCATTGCGAACCGGTAGTAAAGGTAAGTAGAACCCACCCCTGGGTTAAATGTATGTAAATGAAGTGGATGTTGGCACAAGTTTAGCCCATGGTACAGCATCTAGACCAGTGATGGCAAATCTTTTCGGCACCAAGTGCCCAAACCGGAACATGCGTGCATGCATGTGTATGCGCTGGAGCACCGGTAACCTGAAGACCAGTTGGCCGGTGCGCGCATGCCTGTTTTTTGGGCATTTTCAGGGCCGTTTTTCAGGTCAAAAACAGCCTGAAAATGGCCTTAAAAAAACTATTTTTAGCCCATTTTCAGATCATTTTTTGCCCAAAAAACAGCTTGAAAACAGCCTGAAAAATGGCCTGAAAATGGCCCAAAAAAACGACCTGTTTTTTGGCCATTTTTCAGACCATTTTCCAGCGCTCCAGCACTCACGAAGACCAGCTGGCCAGCGCACTGGAAACCTGAAGACCAGCTGGCGACAGTGCGCGTGCCCACAGAGAGGGCCCTGCGTGCCACCTCTGGCACGTGTGCTATAGGTTCGCCATCATGGATCTAGACACACAGAACTCAAGTATAGCATTTTCGTTGGATGAGAAATGATACATGAAAATTCATGGGGAAGAGGGCTTCTTACCTGAGAGAGTAATCCAAAGACATGTCTGTGAAATCAAAGAACTTGAGGTATTCTTCAGCTACAAGCTTACTAAACTCGTTGCTTCAACAGAAAAAGAAAAAGCATAGATCAGATTATTAGGAAATGAAACTCAGACATATTCATAACATTCTAAAAGATTCAAGGCAGAAAATTGGAACGTACTTTTTCCCCAAATGCTTTGCCACATCTGATCGTTTGAATCTATCCAGATGATAGAGGCGCTTTGCCAGCCTCCGCGCAGCCTCCACATTGCCACTGGTCGTACCATTGATGAAGTCATGGCTCAGGTTTTCATGTCCCTCTTTTTCCAGAATATCATGACTGCCCATATCCCCTGTGGCATCTAACGATGTAGTACATTCCAGTCTTGCATTGCTATGAAACAGGAAAGAATATTAACAGGAGGAACAAGAGTAGGGGGGGAAAAATTAAGTGCAAGTCATTTATGGCGACAAACAAATAACAGATGATTAGAAAACTTTTATTACATTCTATGCACAAATTAAAATGGACATAGTACATTTCTCCTGAAACTCTATAGAAGTGAATGGAAATTTCTATTTTTTCTTTTATTTTAAGGAGACTTTCTGAGACAAACTTCCTACACTTCTGCTTTTTTTTCTTTCAGCTACTATCTCTAAATTCAGAAACCTCAAACCTTAATGTTAATTTAGAAATCTTAATAGAATTGCTGCCCAAATTTTATGTTCAAAAACCCGGAAACCTTATTGTAGGTCTCAAAGCTGTAAGAGAAGGCAGACAAAATAGTTGTGAAGAAACTAGACTTTTCATAGACATTTATAAATTATTTGAACATATACACACATAACTCATAATGAAAGCCCAAAAAATTTAAACCATGTCTAAAAAAAGAAAATTCTTCATGGTTCCTGTTATAGTTCACTTGTTTTAAATGCAAAACTTTGTAAATTATAAACAGTTTGATAAGGTATGATCTCCATAATGTGTTTCGGGTGATAAAATTCTGTGCAGCTATTTTCATTATAAGATGGAACTATTTTCATTTCAAAGTTCTTAAAAAAAACAAGAGCAAAATGCAAGAATTAAAATTAGGAGTATGTGAAACATTTCATTTTGACCTATTTGAAGTGTGAAATTTTGTGACATGTCCCATTTCAAGTGCAAAAGTAATATTTTTCAAACAAAAAACTTTGTGCATAAAATGTGATGTCTCACAGTCAACTTGAAATGGTTGCAAACATTTTGCACATTTCAAGTTACGAAGCCTTTAATTAAGTAAATAGTACCATCAAACTAAATTTAGTAAACTCTTCCCAGATGAGATGACTTTATTCAATGTAATAAAGTATTTATTTAGAGCATTTATACCTCACCTAAGGGTTCCCAAAAGAGTTTGTGCCACCATAGTAATAACAAAAGAGACCTCATAAAAATAAAAAGACATGGGAAAGAAAGAGACAGAAAATAATTCAGGGACACGTTCTTAAAGTTTCATCATTACTATAACGGCCAACTATGATGAAAATGATTTGTTCAGGGAAGCCCTGATGATACTATCACCTTATGGTTAGCTGTTTAACTCCAGCACCACTCAGCAATTTTTTTTTCAGTTAAACCCACATTTATTTGTTTATGAAGCTTATATACTGCTCCATTTCTAAAGGACTCTAGGTTTTATTATCCTCAAGGTTGTCCCAAATGAAGGAACACTTTTCGATCAAATGTAATATAAACTAAGACTTTTCTGGTTCCAATCTGGGACTCTATATATGAAATAGCATTATTTCAAATTGTTGAGAGACCTAATTTTAAAACACCTCATACCGTAGTAAAAACAAATACGATGCAATAGTCTCCATTAAACATTACAACACAGGAAGAAGGACTGTGATGGCACACTGTGAAAATGTCATCTGAACGGTAGCTGCAATGAATCCATGAAATGTGCTGCTGCTACGGAAGTATTTTTTACAACCCATGTTTCATTTTTACTGCTTTATACCCTTTTCATTGGCATAACTACTTGATAAATGTGAATCATGTGAGCTTATTTCCTGATAATACAATGACTGGTTTTGAAACCAAGCACCCTTACCATGACCCGGTCTTATTTTCTTTTAGGTACTGAAATAAACACTAGGGCTTATTTTCAGGGATGACTTAATTTGTTTTGAGTGCCACCACTGCAAGGCAGGGGGGTGGAGCTACCCCATGCGCTGCGCTCCGCTTACCTCAGGGTCCCTGCAGCCTGGCCATCCACGCCCTGACAACTGCCTCGCCTCGCAGAGGTGGCCCACTTCTTCCGACACTGGCGCAGCACCACATGAGGCAAAGCGATGTGCCGGTGCCGCAGCCACAAGGCAAAGTAGTGGGGTGAAAGACGAGGTGAGGCAGGTGGGGGGTGGAGGACAAGGTGAAGAGGTGGGAAGGGAGTGGAGCTTAAGTAGGGCTTATTTTGGGGGTAGGGTTTATATTGGGCGCACGGTATCTGGAAAGTGTTCTAAAAAATCCACCATCGCACCACATCTTTGATGTGTCACAACATTCAGACACATGGTCAACAGCATACCAACATATACATTTTTCTGCAACAAACTTGATGGTCTCAGGGCTGTAAGGAAAGCTGATTCATCATGGCACAGCCCCAGACTATTCCTTTATTGGGTAAATGCGGAAAATGGGGGAGAAAATACAAAATAGATATGTCATGGCTTAAGGCTCCCATTTGCCTCTTTAGAACCCCCAAGCCCCAGAATTGGAGAATTTTTTTCTCATTTGGAAAGATTCAAGGAGCCAAGGACTATCATAAGCCTCTCTGCATAAACTCTGTTATCTCTCATATTTGCAAACCTGGGTGATTTGGTCCCACCCACTTCAGTGATATTATGACATCACTAATTCTATAACCAGCAGCGGTCAGTCAGAAAAATCCTGCTCACCTCTGTTTTCAAGTCAACAAAGCTGTCAGCCCTGGAGGCCATCTTTTTCTTTGGATCTTCAGGGCTGCCACATTTAGTGCTGTGGGAAACTGGGAGGGGGATTGCATGGGATAGTGGAGATATCTAGCCATAATAACAATCCTTTCTCTGAAAGTCAAGGACATTTGGCCTGCACCTGGAGTGGCGTGACTGGGAGACATCTCCAGTTGGGACGGTGCATTGATTGGATGATGTGATGGACATGTGGGTGCAAGGGAAGGGACTTGGACTTTCTTTTGGGTGGGGAAAACCTGGAAGCTTTCAGATTTAGTTTTCCCACATGTGCCAATATGACATCTCTAATAAAATGGAACTTTGAGGAACTTCTAACCTTGGAGTCTTCTTTTGTTGGGGGTGTTACTTGGAACCCTGACAAAAGCATCATTGCCAAATAGTCCATTCTGAGTACTAAACCGGCATTAACAATAACAATGGTTAATAATGTGTTTATGACGCCAACTTTATGAAAAGTGGCGTCTTTCTTCTAGAGAGAAAAGTGATTCAAACTCTGTGTTGGGGATGACAAACATAAATATTCCCATTTGTATTGTAGTACCATCCACTCCAGTCATTATCTCTAAAATGAGGAAATGTCAGTTTTCAGTATATTCAGTATACATACCAGTATACTATTGGTATGTCCACTAATTGGACATACCAATAGTAGAAAAGCAAGACAGTGAGTAGGCAGGCAGATGAAAGTCTGTGGGTAAAGGAGGAAGATTTAAAAAAAAAAGAGGCAAACAACCTAAGGAAAATATTGCAAATAAAATTAAGGAAGAAATTTAACAAAAATTGAATATTTCAAATAGAGGCATCAAGGCTCAAATATATACAGATGTAGTACTCAAAAAAATATTGGTGAATTTTTAAGCTTTATTAATTTGGTTAGGAAATGCCACGGACTATAGTGCAAATTAGTCTGATACTTTTTAAAAGAATTCTATTAAAGGTTAATGTTGATCGTTTGATGCCCAGACCTTTTGACCTAAAACAGTCGAACAAAGCTTGCATAAGGATAACGGATATATTCCTAGTCTTCGTTTGGCTACCCAATCTCTTTACAACGTACTTCTGTGAACCATTTTTTCCCCCGAATTAGTTCTTATATTTCCATCATATAAGCCTTAAGATTAACCTAAGGGGAAAACTGAGCAATGGTATGGTAGAATTGTTAAATCTAAGTTAGTGCCTGGTTCAGGAATGGTATTCATTTACCTTCCCTACCGGTTTGCAAATGTGTGTGCATGCGTGCACGCTCACTACGCACACACACACCTTCTCTGTGCATGCCCAAGGCCTTCCACGCATGCGCAGAACCCCAAAAATGTGGAAAAATGGGACGTTGCGACATCCGCATGGGTGGGAGGGGCATCCCATAGTTGCTCCTACTGGTTCGCCCGAACTGGATAGAACCAACTGAATACCACCACTGGCCTGGTTGCAAAAACACCAAAAACTCTAAATAAAAAATACAGTCCCACACCCCAATTCAACTTTAGCAGAATTTAGGAGCAGAGCACTAAATTAGGTTCATTTCAAAGAAACTAGAGATGTATGTCTCAGAGATTCCATCACAATTGGCCCTAGACAATTGTGAACCAAGCTCCATGAAGGACTATGTGTCTGGCATGTTTCAGAAGAATTTCCATTACAGTTCCCAAATTTGCCCCATAGCACTGAACATTATGAAAACTAGACCAAAAAGGACATTAGGTTGGAAGAGGCTAGCACATACAGAATTATTTATAATATCATTTCTTTGCTTCAAATTTCTTTGTCCTGTCATCTGCAAAAATAATTTGGTGTATTTACCATTGATATCATTGAAAAATGCCAATACATTGATGATAGCATTTGGTATCAGCAGTCCAATTATATCAACTGCAGTCTTTACTCAACCCCAACATTTAACATACCTGTTTAATCCCACATTATAGCTTGATACAATGCCAAGTTCGTCATGTTTTTGCATCTCCCTAAAACAAGCTGCTCATTCAGCAACAGTAACTGCCAGCAGCAAGCAGACCACTCTTGGCAAAATCCTTTATGGTATCCTTCACAGGAATCCTAGATAGATGTTTCCTGTCTTAATGTGAGCCAAGGAAAAGATCTCCTTCATCTTCATATGTTAAGGAGGACTGGAATCTATGCATCTGCCATTTGGACATCCATTTGACTTTAGAAAAATATCCCTAGACATTCCAGATCATGACCTCATGATGCAAGAATTACATCATAAGTGACTTGCATTCTTTATAGGGAGTGGCATTTTTAGACCATAAGTATTTTAGCTAAAACTTTTGGATTTATTTACCTTTTGGAAATGTGAATCCTTACGATTTATATTGACTGTTTTCTAATATGATTTGATTGCTTATTTGTTCCCTATGGCTATCATTAAGTGTTGTACCT